GCCTAAAATACCTCCCTGCTCAATGCAGTTCCTATTCATCTACTCACATTGCTGTTTTAAATCTGCTAGGTGGGTGGGAAGCTGGACTGAAGGTTAGGCACTCACCCTGACCGAGCTTCTAACTGTCAACCTTTCAGCTGGAGCTGGTGATTAACTTACTGTGCTAAAGCCGGCCTTAAAATCAGAGGTGCCTCCCTCCTCCTCACCCAGAGAGAGATCCCAAAGAGAAGATGGATGCGCTGCCTTCCAAGGGAAATGTGGATGTTTTCCACGCAGCCTGTTTCTGAGAGTGGGAAAAGGAAGAGCAAAGGCATCTTGGGAAGTGAGGATTACGGGTACCYGGAGACAGGAAATAAAAATCTAGCCCATGCCTCTCACCCCTACGCTCTTCTGTGATATTCCACTTTGGGCTTGATTCATTTTCAGTTTTGCCATTCAGGTGATTTTCTATTACTACCTTCAATTAATGTACAAATTGACTTTTTTTTCCTCCAAGGAAGAGTTTGGGAGGAAGCCTCATTCAGTTTAGTCTGGGATTTGCTTATAAGTGAACGTGCCTAGGATGGTGTTACAAAATGAGCTTCACAAAACGTAAACATCTTCATGTTTTACTAAATGATGCTCACAGAAATGGATGTCCAGGAATGAAGCAAAGTCCATTGTGATGACTTTCCATTACATTTGTTCAAATTGTGGAGAATCCACACACACACCCCTCMAAAAAAAAAAAAAAAACAACCCACAATACTCTGATTCAATGCAGTTTCTATGTGGTTAAAACCAATACAGGTTAAAATACAAAATGCCTACACATTTGAGAGGGACATGATTTAGAGAAATGAATTCCCAATCATCACATGTCCCAGAAGCCCTGTCTATAGAGAAAAACCTTGCTTGCTAGAAACTGGTGATGCATAGAAAAAGTTAGCAAAGAGAAGGAATGATTGTTCTCTGTGTTCTTTGTTCAGTCAAAGATACAAGCAGTAAGTCACTCCCTCACTCCCTTGAGTTTCCCAGCCGTAGAAGAAATGCAACTTGCACATAGATAAGCCGACCTGAAGTTCCACAACTCAGGGGCGGAGATTTCAACAGAACCATTGTTATAGGCTTTTGCTGTTAGAAACATAGCAGAACCAATAAGATTCCTAATTGTCAGACACAACCAATGAGAAAACTTCTTTTTTTAACCTAAGGGCCCACTCTGTAGGAATCCAGGCCTTCCAGCACAACTTCCAGTAGAAAGGGAGACCATAGAGTCTCTGTGGAGGACCTGGAGATTACTAGAGATGCCATGGGGGGGTCATTAAAAAATAATGCCCCACATTTGTTTTCTCAGCCTTTAAAATGATAGAAAAGGGAACTTTTGCATGCTGGAAATCTGACTTTTCTCCCATGTAACTATTGAGTTTCAAATCATTCCAACTTGAAACTCAATTTGAATTCTTAGTTCATGAAAATAAGAGCATTGTGAGTCTCTATACATTTGGGAGAAATGTGGGAGAGACATCCGATTCCAGCCATTCCCAAGTGGACTTGTCTGTCTTGGTTAATGGCCTTCTCTTGCCTCCCTCCTTCCTTTCTGGGGGTCTCTTCCAGGGTCTCACACTTTGCAGTTGATGTACGGCTGTGAGCTGAGGAGAGACGGGAGCATAGGAGGGTATCAGCAGTACGCCTACAACGGGAGGGACTACCTCAGCTTTGACAAGGAGACCCTCACCTGGACGGCAGCCGAGGTCCCAGCCCAGAACACCAAGCGGAGGTGGGAGAGGGAGACACATGAGGCCCAGCGCTTCAATGCCTACCTGGAGGATGAATGCATTGTGTGGCTGCAGAGATACCTGGAGTATGGGAAGGAGACCCTGCTGAGGAGAGGTGAAGGTGGTCTCATGGAAACCATGATAGGGGTGGGGAGGGAGAGGAGGGCTGCAGTGTCTTCATCTCCTTCTTTCCCCCCACATTTTGTATGTCAGTGGAAGGGAGGCAGGCACTCCAGGCAGGAAAGGGAGGGTGGGAGCCTGGACTGCTCCTCTTCAGCCTTTGCAATGAGGAGGGGAGGGGGGCATCTTGGAAGACTACCCCAGGTTTGGAAAGACACATGGCAGAAGGAGGCTTCATTCCATGTGTTCCTTGCAGGAGGCTGGATCCTGTTTCAGATGAAGCAGCCTCCATACATGGAGCCTCCTTTCCCCTTTCAGCCTGAAGGGAGACAGTCCACCTTCTTTGCCTTTCCCCTTAATGGGCAAATCCTGTCAGAAACTGAAACAGAAGCACTGCATCCAAGTAATGAGAGAGAGGGGGAGGAAAGGGGGAATGTGGCAGCACCTCATTTAAGACTGATTAGAATTTATTCTAGCCAGCACTTTCATGGAGATGAACCCAGTCCTTCAGATGAAGAGCAGAATGGTATTAAAATATCAGGTTATAAAGCATATTTATGCAGTTGTGGGAATGCTTTAATATTAGTCTAGGTCAGTGTTTCTCCACCTTCCTAAAGCTGCGACCCCTTAATACAGTTCCTCACATTGTGGTGACACCCAACCAGAAAATATTTTTGTTGCTTCTTCATAACTGTCATTTTGCTGCTGTTACGAATCATAGTGTAAATATCTGATATGCAGAATGTATTTTCATTCACTGGACCAAATTTGACCCAAATTTGAATACTGGTGGGGTTGCAGAGGGATTGGTTTTGTCATTTGGGAGTTGTAGTTGCTGGGATTTATAGTTCACCTACAATCAAAGAGCATTCTGAACTCCACCAATGATGGAATTGAACCAAACTTGACACACAGAACTCCCATGACCAACAGAAAATACTGGAAGGGTTTGGTGGGCATTGACCTTGAGTTTGGAGTTGTAGTTCACCTACATCCAGAGAGCACTGTGGACTCAAATAATGATGGATCTGGACCAAACTTGGCACGAATACTCAATTGCCCAAATATGAACACAGATGGAGTTTGGGGGAAATAGACCTTGACCTTTGGAAGTTGTAGTTGCTGGTATTTATAGTTCACCTATTCTGAACTCCACCAACAGTAGAATTGGACCAAACTTCCCACACAGAACCCCCACGACTGACATAAAATACTGCATTTTCACATGGTCTTTGGTGACCCCTTCGACACCCTCCTCGTGACCCCCAGGTTGAGATACTGTGCTCTATTGCATTTGAAGAAGTAGTTTTGCATCCCTGGAATCTCATTCTAAAATAAAAACCAGTTAATCTTAAATCTGTGGCCAGGTTCCTCTCTTTCTCCCCATCCCTTCCTCCTAGTTGAGATGCTGCAAGAGACTAGGGCAGCCACTTTTGTGGGAACATCTCCCAAGTGATCAGAGTGGTCAGATTTACTGGGCAGGGAAGGTCAGGCCGAAGTGGAGAGAGAAACTCCTGACCTGACTCTTCTGGAGCTGAAGAGAAGCGCCCTGGGACTTGTTATTTTCTGAAAGCTTCTTAGAATGAATCTGAGCATGCGCAGAGTGTTCTTTCATTTCAGATGGAGACAGCTTTTCAGAACCCATAAGAACATGGTGCCCCCGAGCATGGCCTTATTGTCCAAAATCCATCCAATGGAATATAGCAAGGCCATCGACTCTAATTTTTCTCCAGGCTTTCCACCCTGAGAACCAGGAGTTCCTGTGCTGTGGGTGGGATTTCTCAAAGCATCTCAAGGTGCTTGTGAATCCTCTTCTTTGACAGGATATTTTTAAATAATGGGGGTCAAATACTGAATATAGGGGGCAACTTGCTTCCATGAAACTGGAGCATTCACTTTTCCTGTTATTTGGAAAGGCCCTGTGCTTATTCTCTTGTCATTTTTGCAGAGAAGCCAGAGGTGAAGGTGACACGCAAGGTGGAATATGATGGCATGGAGACCTTGATCTGCCACGCAGGGGGCTTCTACCCCAAGGAGATTGACATCACCTGGACAAAGGATGGGGAGGTCTGGATGGAGGATACCTACCATGGCCTGGTGTCCCCCAACTCGGATGGGACTTACTACACCTGGTGGAGCGTCACAGTGGACCCCGAGGAGAGGGAACGCTACAAATGCCACGTGGAGCACGATGGGCTTTCAAACCCTGTGGACGTGGCCTGGGAGGAGCCTGGTGAGTCAATTGAGGGAAGGAGGGAAGGTTGTTGGAGGGGCAAAATGGGCAAACCCGCCCCCCTCGAGGCATCACCTGTAGCACCATGGGGTCTCTCCTTGGACCCCAATTGTATAGTGTTCAACAGCAGTGTTTCCTTCCCTGCAAGTGCCGTGTGGGCCATCCATTCCCATCTCCTACTCTGTGAGAAGACTGGCTGGACTCTTTCTGCTTTTAATCCCGACTGGTGTGATGACGAATTTGTAAACATTTAAATTCCAAACCCGACATCAAAAGCCAACAACAAAACTTCATTCTTTTACCCTGTATTTGTTACGAGTATTTATTCTTGAAGCCATTTGCAAATCGTTACTTCCTCTTCTGCAAACCCTGGCAGATGGTCTTGGGAGCTGGGCTGTTCATTGAATGTACACAAATCTACACTTTTTTTTAGCCTTGGTCTCCATGAACTCCCCAGTTCTTTGACTATCTACAACCTGCTCCATAAAGGGTTTGCTTGGCTGATTTCCTCGTAATTCTTTTGTTCTTTCCCATTTCAACTTCAGCCTCCCACTTGGGGCTCATCATGGGGTGTCTCCTGGGGGTTCTCATCGTTGTGATGGCTGGGATTGCTGTCTATTTCAGTGAGTAAATTCTGAAACTTAGTTTGTGGGGAGAGGCAATATGTGGTTTTGGGGAAGATATTTTCCCCTGATGGGGATCCCATTCTTGAGGGGAAAGTTCATGTTAGCCAACAATTTGGAGGCCTCTCCGACTCTCTTTCCCAGCCACATTTTGAGGTTGAGTCCTTGTCCATTGCCTGGGGGCACTTCCCCATCTCTGCTAATGTATCCTCTAGGGAATCTGAAAGGCTACTGTCCCTATGGCTTGCTAGGAAGAAATGGGAGAAACCCTTTAGAAAGAGGAGGAGATGAGGTGTCCTTCATCAGAGAGTGAGATGGTATTGACTTCTGAAGGTCAGCTTTAATGCCCCGATTCTGTCTCTGCAGGAAAACATCAAGATGGATACAGAGCAGCTGCAGGTGAGTGTTACCTTCTCCATTGCATGTTTAATCTTCCTGCTTCTTGGCAGGGGTTGGATTGGATGGCCCGTGAGGTTTGTTCCAACTCAGTGATTCCATAATTCTACTCCAGATGGATTTGGGGGGGGGGGGCTAGAGCCATGGCTTACCAGAAAGAAGCGAAGAAAGGAGAGCGATTTCACTGAGAAGAGCAGTTGCAGAAGGCAGCTCCGTGTTCACTCCCTGGATCCAGTTCACATTATGAAGTGCTTCCAGATTTTTTTTTGGGGGGGGGGGGGGGTCGGAAAAGGTGTTGAGCACTCTATATGCTGAGCATTTGAACTGTGTTCTATTAATATACACAGATTCATACATATGCTTATGTACATATATTTATACAAAAATACATATACAAAAATACATCTTCAGGAATATTGGAATTACCTGAGAACTCTTCCTGTGTGTATACACATGTGTACATTTTTCTCTTGGAAAAAAAGAGATAAATCAAAACTTTCCTGTCCAAGGAACTGATTCAGATGTCCTTTGTTTCCTTTTCAGGAAATGACCAATGATACGACAACTCTGGGGCAGGTAAGTGTTAAGCGATTCCCACCTCCAAGAGTGCAAACATTTGAAAGTCAAAATGAGATTTGATCCCCACGTTTCCCCCCTCCTTTATCTCCCAACTTTGTGTCAACAATCAGGTGGGTGAAGGGGAAACCCTCCCTCGTCTCTCTGGACTCCCCCACTGTCTCATTGAGAGCAATGACCCAGTCCTGGAGACCAAAAGGTAAAGCCTGGTTCCTTGGAGACAAAAAGTGCCTGGACTCTGGAATTGCATCCACAAAAACCACTGAATATGGCATGAGGCCAGCCAGTGAAGACGCAGCCCATTGCAGAGCTTGGCTAACTCCCCTCAAAGATCCTGGACCCTCTTTGCTTCAGTCCCCAGACCTGTGGTCTCTTCCCTCCTTGGAATGTCATCTCTGTGCTGAAGGAGAGAGTGACTCAGTTTCCCTTCTGGTTTCCTCAAAGCAGGTAAAAGGCAGTGGAGGGGGAGATAGAAGGTTAGTATTAGAGGCAGAATGACCATGGGATGAATAGGTATGGGATTGTACAATAGAAAAACAGAACAGAATCATAAAATTGGAAGAGTCCACAAGGGTCATCTAGTCTAACCTGACCCATAAAACCCTCCAGAGAAGGAGACTCTACCATGCTCCCAGGCAGTGTTTCCTACTGCATAAATGACTCTTATCTTCAAACAATTCTTCTTATAATGTTCAGGTGGAATTTCATTTCCTGCCATTGAAATCAATGGCTCTGTGTCCTAGTCTTTGGAGCATCAGAGAACAAGCTTGCCCTCTCCTCAATGGACATCCTTTCAAATACTGAAACATGGCTCTCCTGCCCCCTTTTTTCTGCCTTCTTTTCTTCAGGCTAAACATACCCATTACTTAACAGTTATGCAAATGTGAAATGTCACAACCAGGACAGAGAGGCTTTGATGAAGTTAAGGAAAACACTCCAAATCTTTCAAGAGAGGACTTGCTTCTTCCAAACTAGATCTAGACAAAAACTTTTCCTTTTCCTTGCTGTCAGTTTCCTTACGATTGCCTTGTTTGTCTTTCCTCAGCATGAGTGACAGATCTGCCACGGAGGAGGAGAGAGGAAGAGTGACATCCCTCTCAGCACTTGAGAGTTTCTCCCCCGATCTTCACTGCCTTGTCCCCTGCCCAGCTGATAAGAATATTTTTCACTGGAAAGTGCTGGGCCTGAAATGATGTTTTTGCAGGAATATCACATATTGGAATCCATTTTATCAACTATCCCGATATTTGCTGGAAAACAAACTCGGCCAAGAGTACAAGGTCCAACAAATTTCTCGCTTGCCTTGCAGACAATTTCATGGTCCAGAAGGTAGAAGAGGCAACAAGGGGATTGGCTACTCTTGATCTCATCCTAACAAATGTGGAGGACCTGATCGATGTGGTTGAAGTGGTAGGATCCTTAGGGGCAAGTGACCATGTGCTCCTGCAATTTGAGGTACAAAGGAAGGCCGAAACTAAGACAAGTCAAACCCGCATTTTGGACTTTAGGAGAGCTGATTTCCAAAAAATGAAGGAAACACTGAGCAGCATTCCATGGACACAGATACTAAAAGACAAGGAAGTTACGGATGGAACCCCAGGTTTCGGCGGTGACCAGGGGAGCATTTGCACAGTTAAAACTTGTGCGCCAGCTACGCCTGTACCTTGGGAAGTCTGACTTGGCCACGGTAGTCCACGCTCTGGTTACATCCCGTATAGACTACTGCAACGCTCTCTACGTGGGGTTGCCTTTGAAGACTGCTCGGAAGCTTCAAATGGTCCAACGCTCGGCAGCCAGGATGCTAACAGGAGCGGCACTCAGGGAGCATACAACTCCCTGTTGCGCCAACTCCACTGGCTACCGATCTGCTACCGGGCTCAATTCAAAGTGCTGGCGTTGGCCTTTAAAGCTCTAAACGGTTCCGGCCCAAGCTACCTATCCAACTGCATCTCTGCCTATGAACCCATCAGGACTTTGAGATCTTCCGGGGAGGCCCTGCTCTCGATCCCGCCTGCCTCCCAGGCACGGCTGGCGGGGACGAGAGATAGGGCCTTCTCGGTGGTGGCCCCGCGGCTGTGGAACGCCCTTCCCACGGACATTAGACTAGCTGCATCATTAATGGTATTCCGCAAAAAAGTGAAAACTTGGTTGTTTGAGCAGGCGTTCGAATAGTCAGTGCAATGAATGTAATGAACATAGGAATGGAACAATGGATGACGGATCTGGATCATGTTTTTAGTGATGAGACGCTAGCGAATGGCTATTGGTGTTAATTGTATATTGTTGTTAATTGTATACTTTTCTATAATATGTTATGATGTTAACTGTTTTTTATACTGTGTTATGGTAGCATTGAATTTTTGCTGTTCTTGTTGTTAACCGCTGTTCTTGTTGTTAAGGGCTGAGAACAGTGGTATACAAATAAAGTAAATAAATAAAGTAAATAAATAAAAAAAAGATAAGGGAGTTATGGATGGATGGGAATTTCTCAAGACTGAAATACTCAAGGCGCAATTGCAAACCGTGCCAACAAAGAGAAAAAATAGGACTTCTAACTGTGCTAAAACACAAAAGAGACATGCACAAGAAGTGGAAAAAGGGAGAAATCACCAAAGAAGAATTCAAACAAATAGCCAACACCTGTAGGGAAAAGGTCCGCAAGGCTAAAGCACAAAACGAGCTCGGGCTTGCCAGGGACATTAAAAACAATAAAAAGGGCTTCTTTTCTTATGTCAATAGAAAAAGGAAAAACAAGGAGGCCATAGGGCCTCTTCGAGGAGAAGGTGGGGCAATGCTGACAGGGGATAGGGAAAAGGCAGAACTACTTAATGCCTTCTTTGTCTCGGTCTTCTCACAAAAAGAAAGTCATCTTCAACCTCAGCAAGATGGAGTGGATGAGGGATTTGAGGACATCCAACCCCAAATTGGGAAACAAGTCATCCAGGAATACCTGGCCGCTCTAAATGAGTTCAAGTCCCCAGGGCCAGATCAACTACACCCAAGAGTATTGAAGGAACTAGCGGAAGTCATTTCGGAACCATTGGCAATCATCTTTGAGAGTTCTTGGAGAATGGGAGAAGTTCCAGCAGACTGGAGGAGGGCCAATGTGGTCCCAATCTTCAAGAAGGGAAAAAAGGATGACCCAAACAATTAGCGGCCGGTCAGACTCACATCGATATACCAGGCAAGATTCTGGAAAAGATGGTTAAAGAAGTGGTCTGCAAACACTTAGAAACAAATGCGGTCATCGCTAATAGTCAACATGGATTTACCAAAAACAAGTCATGCCAGACTCATCTGATCTCTTTTTTCGATAGAGTTACAAGCTGGGTAGATGCGGGGAATGCCGTGGATGTAGCGTACCTGGATTTCAGTAAGGCCTTCGACAAGGTCCCCCATGACCTTCTGGCAAGGAAACTAGTTCAATGTGGGCTAGGCAAGGGGGGGGGGGGGGGGGGGGGGGCTTGGGGGGCTTCAGCCCCCCCCCCCGAAATTCTCATGGTGGTTCGCGAAGAAGGCCTTACTGGTGCATTATTTAAACTGTTATGTTTATTCATATCATGATCTGATCACCATGCTCAATATATCCCATATGCATGGGGGTATTGGGGTAACAATACAAAAGGTTTGCTAGGGTAGACCCTCTTTCACTCAGACTCAGCCCTCCCCCCCGAAACAAACTCAGCCCCCCCTCCCCGAATCAAAATCCTGGCTCCAGGCCTGGATTTCAGGAAGGCCTTCGACAAGGACCCCCATGACCTTCTGGCAAGGAAACTAGTCCAATGTGGGCTAGGCAAAACTACGGTGAGGTGGATCTGTAATTGGTTAAATGGACGAACCCAGAGGGTGCTCACCAATGCTTCCTCTTCATCCTGGAAAGAAGTGACAAGTGGAGTGCCGCAGGGTTCCGTCCTGGGCCCAGTCCTGTTCAACATCTTTATTAATGACTTAGAATGAGTTAGAAGGCAGGATCATCAAGTTTGTTATGAAGGAGGGGATTAGTAAAATGTCTGCCCTCGGAGGCTGGGAAGGTGAACCGGGAAAAGGATTTTTCTGATCAAACTACAGCAGAGTCTCGCTTATCCGACATAAACGGGCCAGCAGAACATGGGATAAATAAAAAATGTCAGATAACACGGAGTCTCCTACTGTTATCCATCCAACGCGGTGCTAGACACCTAGAATACTAACAACAGGGATTCGAAGGGTTAAAGCAAGACAACACCTCAGGGCTAGAGAGTTCCAGCAGGAAGTGCCCGGATGCGGAAGAGGAGCGTGGAAATCACAGAGGGAAGGAGGGAGGGTGCTTCTTCCAGTCCTGCCTCTTTTCCCCCTTTCTTTCCTCCTCCTTGTCTCACCTTTTTTGCTTATTGGGAATGGAGAGAGAGTTGGGAAGTACTCCTTTAATTAAAGGGGAAATGCTGGAGGAAAGGGGGGGGCATTGGATAAGAGTGTCAGATAAGACAGATGACGGGTAAGCCAAGGCCGGATAAGTGAGACTCTACTGAAGCGACTTATACCAGTAACAATGTGAGGAGAGAGGGAAAATATGCAAGATATTGTTGTCCCAATCCAAACGGAGTCCCTTGCAGCCATCACAATGTGATGTGCCTGAGCATGTGATGCTTTGCATTTTCCTCCAGAAATCTATAGGACACTGATAATAAAAGAATGATTCATTTTTAAATGGAGAGGGAGGGAACAAAGCCAGGCAACCCCCCAGGGACAGGCTCCGACTTGAGGCCAGGCTTGGCTTTCAAGGCCTCAAAGGGCTGACTCTGGGCTCAGGGACACTCCTTTTCTGGGAACTCAGGCCAGAGGGAAGAAGTGCCTGTTCTCGGCCTGGACACTAGAGGGCGCCAGAGGCACACTGTCACAGCCCCCTTTCTGCCAAGAGAGGAATTTGGAGATGTAGTCCTTTCAAGGAATTGAAAGAGAGAGGAATTGGGAGATGTAGTCCTTTCAAGGTGGGGGCCCCCCGGTGGCACAGTGGGTTAAAGCACTGAGCTGCTGAGCTTGTTGACCAAAAGGTCGCAGGTTCGATTCTAGGGAGCGGCGTGAGCTTCCGCTGTCATCCCTAGCTTCTGCCAACCTAGCAGTTCGAAAACATGGAAATGTGAGTAGATCAATAGGTACCGCTCTGGCGGGAAGGTAACGGCAATCCATGCGGTCATGCTGGCCACATGACCTTGGAGGTGTCTATGGACAACGCTGGCTCTTCGGCTTAGAAATGGAGATGAGCACCACACCCCAGAGTCAGACATGACTGGACTTAATGTCAGGGGACAACCTTTACCTTTACCTGGTCCTTTCAAGAGAAATCAAGGTGGTCAAAGATCTGGAAAAGCTGGGTGTATTTATCTTGGAGAAGTGCCCCAATCCCTATTTTCAACTATCTCAAAGGGTGTCAAGGAAAAAAAGAGGGTGGAGGAAGTTTAGTTTCAGTCGCTTCCAACTCTTGGTGACCTCCTGGACCAGCCCAGGCCAGAGCTCCCTGTCAGCTGTGGCCACCCCCAGTTCCTTCAAGGTCAAGCCAGTCCCTTCAAGGATGCCATCCATCCATCTTGCCCTTGGTCGGCCTCTCTTCCTTTTTCCCTTTTCCCCAGCATCATTCTCTTCTCCAAGCTTTCCTGTCTTCTCATGATGTGGCCAAAGTACTTCATCTCAGCCTCTCATATCCTTCCCTCCAATGAGCAGTCGGGCTTTATTTCCTGAAGTATGGACTGGTTGGATCTTCTCGCGGTCCAAGGCACTCTTAGAACTTTCCTCCAGGACAACAGTTCAAAAGCATCTGCCTTCCTTCGCTCAGTCTTCCTTCTGGTCCAGCTCCCACATCCATAGGTGACTACGGGGAAGACCATTGCTTTGACTATGCAGACCTTTGTTGCCAGTGTGATACATCTATAACTATGAATGAAACACAATCCAGATTGGAAACAAGACAAAAACAGGAATAAAAGTGTAAATATTAGAAGAGAGATATATCTTATGTTTACACTTATTCCTATTTTTGTCCTGTTTTCCACCTGCCTTGTGTTTCATGCGTAATTTCCTGCCCTGAGTCCCATGACTGAGGGAGAGAGCCTTCTCCTCTGTGGCCCCACAACGCTGGCATTCATTGCCCGGTGAGATTAGGCAAGGCCCCACTGATGCCGAGGTCGGCCCAGACCCCTGCTTTCCAGCTGATCTGACCAGCTGCAGGGAGTTCCGCAGTTCCTGGGTGCCCAGTTGGGCCAACACTGATGAAATGTGCCCCAGCAGCAGCCTCAACCAGGAACCACAACAGCCCCAGCAGTCCGGGGGGAGCCTCGGCTTTCTTGCCTCGCTGCCGGGCGATCCTCTTTCCAAAGGGGCCGGGACCTTGAGCCTCGCATAGCCCTTCTCGTTCCTGCTCAATCGTTCTCCGCATTCTATCCCTTCTTCATGACCGGCTCCCTTTCCCAGTCCCCCAGCGCTCCACTCGCCTCCTCCCCTCTCCCCAATCCGCGGGTGAGCCAAGGGGCGGAGCCGCTGCACCTGTCCCACCTCCACCTCTGTCTCTCTCTCTCTCTCTCTTGGTCCCAATGGCTGAGGAGAAAGTCAGGAGAGGAGGTGACTTTTGGTGCACACGCCGGGGTCTTCAGGCACGCCTCCGGACCCAAAGCGGGCCAGGCAAGGGAGCAAGTGCGCAAGTGTAGTTACTGGGATGTATAGTTCACCTACAATCAAAGAGCATTCTGAACTCCACCAATGATGGAATTGAACCAAATATGGCACACAGAACTGCCACGATGAACAGAATATATATATCAATGATTGGTTGGGGGGAGGGCGCCAAAATACTGTTTGCTTACCATTGAAAATTGCCTAGGGCCGCCTCTGCTTGCAGTTCTGGGGAGGGAGGGACTCTTAATTTTTTGCGTCTCATAGACTTAGCATGGGGATTTGGTTAACCAGTTAAAATTCATGAGTAAACCAGGTTTATTTTTTTTTAACCTGAAAAATTTGGGGGGGGGTTGAACCCCCAACCCCCCCCCCCCCACCACAGCCTGCTCAGTGCCTTTTTCTGCGGGTGAGAGGGCGCGGGGGTCCTGGGATGTTCCTCCCAGGTCTTCCCGGCAGGGTCTTCCCCAAAGCCCCTCTCCCCCCTCCGCCCCCCTCCTGCCTTCCGAGGGGATTCCCGAAAGAGCTTGGGATCCGCTCACTTTCTCTTTCCCTTTCCAGCCTCTTGTCCGCTTGCGGCCGGGCTTCTGCCCAGCACCCGGTGACGGCACGGGATCTCTCTTTTTCGATTGGCGGAACGTTTCCTTTGGGCCAATCCTGGCCCTCCTCCCTGGAAGTAGTAGGCAGCTGGGCTGAGAAGAGAGAGGGGGGATGGCCATGTTCCGGGGCGCCCCTCCCTCCCCCCTCTTCTTTCTGCTGGGCTGCGCGGCCTTCCTGGCGGGGAGGGGGTCCGGTGAGTGGAGGGGGGAGGGAGGGGGAGGGGCGTCCTCCTCCTCTTGAGCCTGGAGGCGTTCAAGCCCAGGGCCCTGGAGGGGAGGCTGCCCTCGCCTGCTCTTCCTCCCTTCTCAAGGGGCGGGGGGGGGGGGTTCCCTTCCCTTCCTGGCGGGATTTGGGGGGATGGAGATGGGGGAGGGGGCCCTCTTTGCTTCCAGGCATTGACCTCCCAGGACAGGCCGTAGCCAGGATTTTGATTCGGGGTTGGGGTGGGTCCTGAGTTTGATTTTGGGTCATTTGCAGTAGAGTTGATTTTGCCCAGGGGCGCTCTTGAGGGAAAATAGACCTTGACATATGCAAGTTGTAGTTACTGGGATGTATAGTTCACCTACAATCAAAGAGCATTCTGAACTCCACCAATGATGGAATTGAACCAAATATGGCACACAGAACTCCCACAACAAACAGAATATATATATCAGTGATTGGTTGGGGGGGGGGCGCCAAAATACTGTTTGCTTACCATTGAAAATTACCTAGGGCGGCCTCTAGGTCTCGGGCGGGAGGGGTAGGGCCGACTAGGAGAGGGGGAAACCGTGGGGAGGGGGTGGGGGGTGCTGAGTTTGATTCGGGGGGGAGGGGGGGAGTTTGATTCAAGGGGGGGGGGGCTGAGGATCTACCCTAGCAAACCTGTTGTATCATTATCGCAATAGCCCCATGCATATGGGATATATTGAGCATGGGGATCAGATCATGATATGAATAAACATAACAGTTTAAATAATGTACCAGTAAGGCCTTCTCGCGGACCACCATGAGAATTTCGGGGGAGGGGGCTGAAGCCCCTCAGGCCCCCCCCCCCCCCCCCCAGGCTACATGCTTGTCCCAGGAGGAGGCAGCCATAGGAATCCCCTCTTTCTGCCCTTTCCTCCTCTGTTGCTTATGATTATGATTATTAGCTTATTATTATGATTATGATTTCAAAATCCACGCATGCCCCTGCTGTCCGTATTCTTCTTTCTTCCTGGACATGACCCTAAGGCCCCCTTCCTCACCTTCCTCCCTCCTTCCCAGGCTCCTCCTCCTCCTCCTCCCATTCCAAGCGCTTTTTCTACACTGGTGTCTCTGAGCCTGGCCAGCCGATGTCCCAGTTTTACGCCGTGGGCTACGTGGACGACCAGCCGTTTGTTCAGTACAATTCCAGCACAAAGAGATATCTTCCGACCGTCCCCTGGGCCAGAGAAGTGGACAAGGAGGACCCTGAGTACTGGGAACAGGGCAGCCAGCGTATCCAGACTTCTGAGCTGAGGTTCCAAGTGGACCTGGCGAATGCGGCCAAGTCCTACAACCAGACCAGAGGTGAGCGGAAGGGAAGGAGGGGCACCTGCTCCCCTCACCACAATCATTCTTCTTCTCAGAAAGAGGGAGCGGAAAGCAGAGCTGGATGAGATTGAGGACCTCTTCACCCGTGAGCATTTCCCCACACTGATCCACTTTCCATGCCGTGACTGCCTCCTGCAGGATTCTGGAGCTTGTAGTTGAGGGAGAGAGAGGCCTTTAAACTGCTCACCCAGAGAAGCCCTGGCCCTCCCTCAACTACAAGCCCCAGAATTCAGCAGGAGGCAGTCACAGCATGGAAAGTGGATTGAAGGAGGAAAATGCTCAGTGATGAGGAGGCCCAAAGAAAAGGCAAGTGGGGGGTGCAGCAAGAGCAGAAGGGTCTTCCTTGGCAGCTCCATCCTGGAAGAGGGGCGAGCAGCACCGGGTTGCCTCCCCTTCCCCACCTCCACCAAAGAAACCTCTAGGCCAGCGGTTCTCAACGTGTGTGTCCCCAAGAGTGTTTTGGCCTCCAACTCCCATGGCCCTTCCACACAGCCCTGTATCCCAGAATATCAAGGCAGAAAATCCCACAATATCCGCTTTGAACTGAGTTATCTGAGTATTCGGATAATGAGGGATTTACTGCCTTAAGATCTGGGAAATAGGGCTCTGTGGAAGGGCCCCCAGAACTCCCAGCCAGTTGACCAGCTATTAGGATTTCTGGGAGTTGAAGGCCAAAACATCTGGAGGGACACGGGTTGAGAACCACTGCTCTAGAGGAAGGTCCCCCAGATCCTAGGAGAGTAACATTCTTATTCTTTCACTTACTTATTTATTTATAGTACTTCTATCCCACCCTTCTCATCCCGAAGGGGACTCAGGGCGGATCACAGAACACATCTTTGTTTTCTCAGCCATTAAAAAGAGAGAGAAGATAATGGACATAATTAGCATGGACATACTAACCCAAAAAATCTCCCACAGCAACACAAAGCCCAAAAAAACCGGACTGGAAAGCCGTCCTAGACTTTGTTAGAGAACAGAACGAAGACATGTATATTTTAGAAGTGTAACAACATCCCAAGGAGAACATTGTTGAAGAAAAATATACAACAACAATAGTAAGCGAGTAGATTAATATGTTTGTGGAGATATAAATGACTTAGTTAAGTAAAGAAAAAAATGGAAACATTCCATACTAGTGCTATTCTTCGAATAGGTATAAACAAGGGCAAACATGTATAATTGATATAAAGGAGAGATACAACCTGGGTAGTCCTGGAAGTAAAAACCCTTCTTTCCCATCCCCCCCCCCCACACCCACAACATGTATCCCTTCCCTACCCTTCATTCCCCACCCCAAGGTCTATGTAACTCCCTACCCCCACCCCCCACCCCCATCTTGACCAATTTCTTTTATTGTAAACATATATTTATTTATTTATTTATTTGGGGTTCTTTTACCCCGCCCTTCTCACCCCGAAGGGGACCCAGGGCAGCTTAGAACAGCAAAGGCACGATTAGATGCCTGCATCACAAAACAATCAACACAAAATTACAACAAATTCACAGTTACCAACAATTCATGCATTATCCCAATAAAATCAATAAAAACCCAATACAAACCCAATTCTTCCTCCTACACGGTCAGCGTTCACTATCTCATAGATCTGATTTTTGATTCCACTTCGTCAATCCTGCTGGTCTTACTCATCTGATTGTCTTATTTAATTGCCTGGTTGCCCAGGAAAATATAATAAATAAAGTTTCAAAAAAAAGAGAGAAAAGTGTATTTTTGCATGCTGGAAATGAGACTTTTCTCCAATGTGACGATTGACTTTCAAGTCATTCTGACAGATGGTGGAGTTGTAGTGAAGTGTTGAAATAACTCATTGAATTCTTAGTTCATGAAAATAGAAGAGTTGTGAACTTCCATACACATTTGGGGGAAATGTGGGAGAGACATCCGATTCCAACCATTCCGAAGTGGACTTCTCTGCCTTTGTTAATGGCCTCCTCTTGTCTCCCTACTTCCTTTCTGGGGGTTTCTTCCAGGGACTCACACTTTGCAGTGGATGTACGGCTGTGAGCTGAGGAGAGACGGGAGCAAAGGAGGGCACTTCCAGAGCGCCTACGACGGGAGGGACTACATCAGCTTTGACAAGGAGACCCTCACCTGGATGGCAGCCGATGTCCCAGCCCAGATCACCAAAAGGAATTTGGAGGCTGATCCTGCCCTTGCCCAGTTTGCTAAGGCCTACCTGGAGGAGGAGTGCATTGAGTGGCTGCGGAGATTCCTGGAGTATGGGAAGGAGACCCTGCTGAGGACAGGTGAAGGCGGTCTCATGGAAACCATGATGGTTGTTGGGGAGGGAGAGGAGGGCTGCAGGGGCTTCATCTCTTTTTCATCCCCATACATTGTATGTCAAGGGAAGGAAGGCAGGCACTCCAGGCAGGAAAGGGAGGGTGGGAGCCTGGACGGTTCCTCTTCGGCCTTTGCAACGAGGAGGGGAGGGGTGCATCTTGGAAGACTCCCCCAGATTTGGAAAGAAACATGGCAGAAGGAGGCTTCATTCCATGTATTCCTTGCAGGAGGCTGGATCCTGTTTCAGAAGAAGCAGCCTCCCAACATGGAGCCTCCTTTCCCCTTTCAGCCTGAAGGGAGACAGTCCACACTCTCTGCCTTTCTCCTCAATGGGCAAATCCTGCCAGAAAGTGAAACAAGCACAGCATTTAAGTATAAAAGGGGGGGGGGAAGAGGGCATGTGGCAGCACCTAATTTAAGACTACCTACAATTTATTTTAGCCAGCACTTTCTTGGAAGTGAATCCAGTCCTTCAGATAAAGTGCAGAGTGGGATTAAGGTTATATCGGGTTATAAAGCATATTTATGCAGGGTTGTTGTAGTTTTTTTCGGGCTGTATGGCCATGTTCTAGAGGCATTCTCTCCTGACGTTTCGCCTGCATCTATGGCAAGCATCCTCAGAGGTAGTGAGGCTGCAGTTTCTTTATGCAGTTGTGGGAATGCTTTAATATCACCCTAGACCAGTGTTTCTCAACTTTCCCACTGCCGTGACCCCTCAATGCAGTCCCTCATGTTGTGGTGACACACTAACCATAACATTATATTCATTGCTACTTCATCACTAATTTTGCTACTGTTATGAATTGCAATGGAAATATCTGATATGCAGGATGTATTTTCATTCCCTGGACTAAATGTGGCACTAGTGGGGTGGATACTAGTGGGGTGGGGTAGGGTGGAGAGATTGCTTTTGTCATTTGGGAGTTGTAGTTGATGGGATTTATAGTTCACCTACAATGAGTATTCTGACCTCCACCAACAATGGACTTGAACCAAACTTGGCACACAGAACTCCCATGACCAACAGAAAACATTGGAAGGGTTTGGTGGGCACTGACCTTGCGTTTTGGAGTTGTAGTTGACCTACATCCAGAGAGCACTGTGGACACAAACAATGAAAGATCTAGGCCAAACTTGGCATGAATACTCCATATGCCCAAATATGAACACAGATGGAGTTTGGGGAAAATAGACTTTGACATTTGGGAGTTGTAGTTGCTGGGAATCATAGTTCACCTACAATTAAAGAGCATTCTGAACTCCATCAACTTTAGAATTGGGCCAAACTTCCCACACAAAACTCCCATGACTGACAGAGAGTACTGTGTCTTTGGTGACCTCTTGGAGACCCCATCCCCAGGGTTCCCGGCCCCCAGGTTGAGAAAGGCTGCTGTATTGCATTTGAAGAAGTAGTTTTGCATCCCTGGAAACTCATTCTAAATTAAAAACCAGGTAATCTTCAATCTGTGGCCAGGTTCCTCTCTTTCTCCCTTCCTCCTCATTGAGTTGCTCCAAGAGACCAGGGCAGCCACTTTTGTGGGAACGTCTTCCAAGTGATCGGAGTGAATAGATTTCCTTGGAAGGAAAGGTCAGACAAAAGTGGAGAGAGGATTCCTGACCTGAATCTTCTGGAGGTGAAGAGAAGAGCCCTGGGACTTTTTGTATTTGGAAAATTTATTAGAATGTATCTGAGCATGGGCAGAGTGTTAGACCCTTTCAGATGGAGACTGTTTGCAGAACCCATAAGAACATGGTGCCCCTGAGCATGGCCTTATTGCCCAAGATCCACCCCATGGAAAATAGCAAGGCCACAGACTCTTAATTTTCCTTTGGGCTTTCCACCCTGAGACCCAGGAGTTCCTGTGCTGTGGGTGGGATTTCTCAAAGGATCTCAAGGTGCTTGTGAAGCCTCTTCTTTGACAGGATTTTTTAAATAATAGGGGCAAATACTGAATATAGAGGGCAGCTTCCTTCCCTGAAACTGGAGCATTCACTTTTGCCGTCATTTGGAAAGGCCCTGTTCTTATTCTCATGTCATCTTTGCAGAGGTGCCAGAAGTGAAGGTGGCACGCAAGGTGGACTATGATGGCATGGAGACCTTGATCTGCCACGTGGGGGGCTTCTACCCCAAGGAGATTGACATCACCTGGACAAAGGATGGGGAGGTCTGGATGGAGGATACCTACCATGGCCTGGTGTCCCCCAACTCGGATGGGACGTACTACACCTGGTGGAGCGTCACGGTGGACCCCGTGGAGAGGGAACGCTACAGATGCCACGTGGAGCACGATGGGCTTCTGAAACCTGTGGATGTGGCCTGGGAGGAGCCTGGTGAGTCATTGGAGGGAAGGAGGGAAGATTTTGGCCCCCACCCCCATGGATCATCCATAGCACTGCAGAGTCTGCCATGAAAGCCCGTTGTATAGTTGTTAGCATCATCTGTACCCTGAGTTTTTTGACAAATCATTAATTGCTGCCATCAGATTTAACCTCTAACCTTTCTTCAAGGAAAAGGCAATGGTAGTTCAGGAGGAATATGAAATCTAGTACATCTGGCTGCCATTCCCTGCTTCAGAGGCCAAAGCAAAGGCATTCAGGACATGTAGGGGGGCGTCTCTTCAGCCACTGGGGACAAGGCTTAATGGAACTGTGTCTGGCTGCTTTCCCATTATGGCTTCTCCTCGTAAACGGAAATCCCCACGTCCAGCTTTGCAAACCCTGACAGAGGATCATGAGAGCTGGGCTGTTCCCTGAATACACACTTTAGCCTTGGACTCCATGAACTCCTCAGTTTTTTTTCCTCATCTACAAATTGCTCCATAAAGGGTTTGACTTGAGGATTTCCTTTTAATTATTGCATTCTTCCCTGTTTCACCTTCAGCCTCCAACCTGTGGGTGATCATTGTGTGTGTCGTCGTGGGTGTTCTCGTTGTCCTCCTGGCCGTTGGGATTTCTGTGTATTGCAGTGAGTAAATTCTGACTGTATTTCCTTGAGTAGAGAAGACAATCTGTAGTCATGGGGAGAATCTCCTTATCGTGTTGAAGAACTCTCCTCGATCGCCCACCTGAATGTTCAGCTTAACCAACCATTTGGAGGCTGGACTACATTTCTGCCGTCTTCTCAGGCCATGTCATGAGCTTGAGTCTCATCCTGTTGTCTGAGGATGCTTTCCCATTTCTGTAATGTCTTTCCTAAAAGGCTGGGAAGGAATGGGAGAAAGCCTGTGAGGAGAGGAGGAGGAGGAAAAGGGTGTGTGGTCTTCTCCATCAGAGAATGAGATGGTGTTGATCTCTCAGGGTCAGTTTTGTTGCGTAGCAAGCGGATCCTAGCCAACATCCCATGGAAAAGACACACAAGCAAGAGGAAAAATGAACAGAAAAACTTTACTCTTATTAGCAGAGATGAAACATAAACTTGGAGTGCTGCATACAAAAATCAAACAGTGCAACAAATTTACATAGTCCTTGTAAGTAACACAGAATAAGGCGTCTTCATCTTCAATCAAATAAGAAAGCAAAACATAAACCTTGAGTAAATAGCTATTTCCCCATAACCTCCTTCAGAGTAGCTTCTCCAAACTGCTCCCCAGAGCAAAGCCTTTGAGCACAGAGCTCCTCAAAGCAAAAGCTGAACTGTATTCTAAAACTCATACAGTCATACCCCACCGGGTGTGGCCAAAGTGTGCTGGCTGACCTACATTACCAGCTGCACAGAATAATTACCATCATAAGGTTTTTCTTCAACAGACGCTTGATCCTGGTGCTAGTTACCGTAATAAGCTTTAACTCCCCTATTCTTTCTCTGCAGAAAAACGACAAAACGGTTACAAAGCAGCTTCAGGTGAGTATTGCCTCTCCCATTGCAGGTTTACTCCAGATGGATGAGGCAGAAGCTATAGGTAGTTGAATTGAGGGATGTGCTCCTATGTCTTCAAGGGTTTAAGCCAATGTTTAAAATGGAAACAAGTTCTGCTCGCTTTCTGTTGTGGAAGAGGGACTTCATCTTCATAGGGGTTTTTGGCTTCCGGGCCTTAGATCATTTTGGTTGCCCTTCCCTGGACACACAGAAATCAAAATCTTGTCCAAGCTTGAAGTACATGATCTTCCAAGCTTTTTTATGGTTCTAAGGCACACCCTCAATTTGCTTTCATTATTGTGGCTATACTCTCTTCCCATCTATTTTTCTGTTCAAGGCTCAAGGTGGTTTCCAACAGGTTTTAAACAATATTGGAGAAGAATTCACACAATCTGAACATTTAAATGATGAAACACTCAAAAAACAAAACTAGATAAATGCCTTGAACCCTTGGTGGTCATTTATAAAGGAGAAAAGCCCAGGTAAGAAATAGAAGATGCAGCACATTGTTTAGATGGGATGAACACTGTAAAAAATCAGTTCTCAAAAGTGTGTTGAACCAGAAAGTTCTGACTGTCTCACCTCTCTGGGAAGAGAGCAGCACAGCCTGAGGGCAACAGCAAGAAGGCCCTCTCCCTTGCTCTCACCAGATGTTCCTGAAATGGTGGTGGAACAGAAAGAGAAGGAAGACTGAGCAAAGAAAGAGAGATGTTTTGAACTGTGGCATTGGAGGAAAATTTGGAGAGTGCCTTGGACCATGAGAAGATCCAACCAGTCCATCCTCCAGGAAAGAAAGCCCAACTGGTTACTGGAGCTGAAGAACTTTGGCCACATCATGAGAAGACAGGAAAGCGTGGAGAAGAGAATGATGCTGGGGAAAGGGGAAGGAAAAAGGAAGAGGGGCCAACCAAGGGCAAGGTAGATGCATGGTATCCTTGAAGTGACTGGCTTGACTTTGAAGGAACTGGGAGTGGCCACGGCCGACAGGGAGCTCTGACCTGGGGTCGGTAAGGCGGTCACCAAGAGTTGGAAATGACTGAACAACAAAAAACAACAACAGAAAGAGATCCAAAGATCTCCAGTAGATCTGAAAACAAGGGCAGGTTTATAAGGGAGAATATGGTCCTTGACCTGGCCTGGAGCTCATCAAATCCAGTGGGACTTCATGCTGTGAGTGTTGAGGTAGAACTCTGGGAACCCAAAGGTTTGAATCCCTGCTGGCCTTGGAAACCCACTGGGTCATCTTGGGCAAGTTCCACTCTCAGCCTCAGAGGAAAGCACTGGAAAACCTTATCTGAACAAATGATATTGACCAGCTAAAATCTCCAGAGAAAGGCAACCAAAATGATAAAAGTTCTAGTAGCCAAGGTCTATGAAGAGTGGCTGAGATCTGGGTATGTTTAGCTTGGAGAGAAAAAGGCTGAGAGAAGGGGACACGATAGCCAAGTTTAAATATGTGAAAGGATGTCATTTTGAGGAGGGGGCAAGCTTGCTTTCTGCTGCTCTGGAGCAAGGGATTCAAATTGCAGGAAAAGAGATTCCACCTAAACATTAGGAAGATCTTCCTGATGGTAAGAGCTGTTTTCAGTGGAATATACTGCCTCGGAGTCCAGTGGCATTGCCTTCTCTGCCAGGAGTGCTTTGGTGGTGTGTTCCTCCATGGCAGGGGTTGGACTGGGTGGCCCTGGTGGCCTCTTCCAAATTATGATTCTATGCATGTGCACATGGTTGTTTTCAGAAAAAGGGGGCAAACATTTATGACAAACTTCTGTCCAACCACTGAACTCTTCCCTATTTTTTCTTTCCTTTTCAGTTAGTGACCAAGGGTCCAACAGCTCTGGGACAGGTAAGTGAGAAGTAACTCTCATTTCCAAGGGTAGAAAGAACTGCAAGTGAAGAAGACAAAGCTTTCCCCTTTCAAGTCCATGGTTGTGTTTAATCCACACCTCTCCCCAGCCTTCTGTCTCCCAGTTTCGCATAGGCTTCTAGGCAAGTGGAAGGAAAGCTCTCCATCTCCTTTTGGAATTTCCACCACCATCCTCTTGAGGGCAATGGCCCAGTCCTTGAGACCAAAAGGTGCAGCTGAGTTACAATCTGGCACCTCAAAGCCAAAGAGTCCTAGACTCTGGACTTACAACCATAAAGCAGACAGTGGAGACACTTCTCATTATAAATCTTTACCACCATCCACCGATGTTCATGAACCCTCTTGGGTTCAATCCCCAGACCACTGACTTGTTTGAATCTTTTGAATGCAACTCTCAGTCAACTGTACTATTGAAGGAGAGGCCAAGCCACTTTTCCATCTCTTTTCTTTCAGAGTCTGCTGTGCCCATCTAGGAATCCCACGGCAAGGTAAATAAATGGCAGCGGGAGGGAACAGGGTTAAGTCTTGTGATAGGGAATCTTATTTGGAGGCATATTTTCCCTCCCAACCTCACACAGAAATTCACAGGGAATGGGTTCAGAAGGAGGAGAAGGGTCTCATGGCAAAATGTTTTCCTCCTTCCTCTCCATTTTGAATGAGCTGTTGAACTTGCTCAATGTGCAGTTCTGGTGGCAGCTGCTGTTCTCTTGCCTGGCGGAAGCAGGGACATACAGCTGCAATAGGATTGGCTAGAGCAAAATCCCATACTTTCCCAGCTCAAACTTTTTTTTCTGGGAAAGTAGCCTCTATCCCAGGCCATCTAACTTTTCCCATGACTATTAGGTGGTGGGTTTGCAAATACATTGTCCAAGCTTCTAGTCCCAGAAGGCAGCTTTCCTTCATCACTTTGCACACAATTTGTAATGCTATCCGGTCCCACACTTCATGATGGAAGCAGTCTCTGGGGTCTCTGTAATGCACCTTCGCTTGTCAACTCTGGTGACATGTTAATTTGGAAGAAGACAAGATGTTTATTTCTGTTAAAACCCTTGAAGGACATCTCCCACCTTCTCCTCACCAGCACTTCAGACCTCTCTTCCCCATTCAATCTTCCACCTGGATCAAATTCTTCTGGTTTCTGTCTCTTAGAAGCATAGAGTTGGAAGAGACCTCGTGGGCCATCCAGCCAAGAAGTCCCAATTTAAAGGATTACCTTGTTTTCCTGGTGTGACCATCCGATCTGCTATGGAAGAGTAGAGAAGGGAAGTGAAGTGAAGAGAAGAGAAGAGAAGAGAGTGTGTGTGTGCATTTGAAGATTTCTTCAGTGTCTTTCACTGACTTGTTGCCTGTTTGGTTTTTGAGAATATTTTAGATTACAGGGTGCAGTCGAAAACACCTTGAGGTGATTTGGTTTTTTGATGGAATTAGAGTGTTTTAGAATTTATTTGCAGTTGAAAGGATGAGTTTAGGCTTTGCATCTGAATAAAAAATATTCATTGATACTATGTTCAAAGTACGAAGTAAAACAGCCATCTTGAGGGAGAATAGATAGAAGATGGGAGGAGTTGGAGGTCTCCCGGGATTGGCTAGAGCAAAGGAGGAGGAGGAGTCAAGTCTTGGGAGGGAAAAGATTTCAGCTTCTGAGAGGTTGAGTTGGGATTTGGAAACTGAAGGAAGAAGAAGTGGTTTTGAGACTGGGGTTTTCTGAGAGAGAGAGCGTTTGTGTCAGGCAGGGCTGAATAATTGGCAAGAAAGGTCAAGCAGCCTCCTGATTACTTGTGGGAGATAACACAAGGGATTTGCTCTCTAGTTTAAGTAACTGAGCTGTAAGGGACTCTGGTGAGAGTGAGCGAATTGCTCAGAAGACAGCCTGGGATAGGTTAGTCAAGAACTCATTGCTATTTTGCTGAAGTAGAGTGAGGGATTTTGTTTGTAACCAGCAGCTATATCTGTGAGATGAGCTCTGTTTGTAACCAAGTCAAGACACTCTTTTTAAGCAACCATTAAGACATTGTGCTATAGTAACAAGTCAAGCGTTTGTGCCTCTCAAAAGAAGAAGTCAGTTGTCTGTTTTTATAAATAAATCTTTTCTCTGTTTGACTTTGAAGAAGCCTCTATTGTTACTCTGGACTTCCCTCCTCGGTAATCCTTGAGTAGAATTGTCAGTCAGTTTAACATCCTAATACCACAGAAAGGTCTCTTATCCAAACCATCATTTTTAGGAGCTAAGGGGAGAGCTGTGTTGGCAGAGAAGAGGAAAGGTTACCTCAGAAACTCATTTTTAAAATCCCTCAACATCTTGGGTGGTGGCAGCATTAAACCAAAAGAAGACTGAAGCACTGTTCACCCTACCATTACACACATCTAACATCATATCGCTACCATAATTAGATCAGCTGGGGCTTGATTCCTCCATACTAGTGTCCAGTAGTGTGATATTATATTTCATATACTCCTTTATATTGGTGTCCAGCGGCGCGATATACATTGATATTTGGTGTTCGATCACAAGGGGGATTGCTTCATCCTTTATAGACCACTGTTGCTCTTTCTTACTGGCAGAACGAGGAGGGAAGTCCAGATCCAAAGAGGAAGCCAGGCTAAGGCTCCTTCCACACAGTTGAATAAAATCCCACCTTATTGGACTTGAACTGGAATATATGGTAGTGTGGACTCAGATAACCTAGTTCAAAACAGATATTGTGGGATTTTCTGCCTCGATATTCTGGGTTATATGGCTGTGTGGAAGGGCCGTGAGCTGGAAGGGGAAGGAGCACTGCTTCATCTTCTTGGAGAACGCTCCCTTCCCCTTACGGCCCAGACCAGCTGCTTCATCTTCCTCTGAATCGCTGGGCCAGCAAACATCCATGTCTGCAGTTCTCCCTGCACTTGACACCTTCAGGTTAAAGGGAAGAGGAAGAACTACATGTGCAGAGTTACTATACAGTCCATGCATCTCCATAACAGCCGGCATCACTGGAAAGGTGGAATTGCCTTACGAATGTGTATGGGGAAGGTCTTCGGAATGTCCAAGTGGCTGCCTACAGCTGATTTTTGCAAACGGGCTCTTAGGAAGTAGTTAAATATCAAGGCATTTATCATATATAAGGAATCAAGGAAACATTGTTGCAATATTTCTCAAGTCAGGAGCAACTTGAGAAACGACAAGTCGCTTCTGGTGTGAGAATTGGCCATCTGTAAAGACGTTGCCCAGGGGTTGTTGCCTGGATATTGGATGTTTATCATCCTTGTGGGAGGCTTCTCTCATGTCCCCTCATGGAGAGCTGGAGCTGACAGAGGGAGCTCAACCTGCTCTCCCCATATTTGATCTCAGTCTTAAATTCTGCTGGGTCTCAGTTTGGGGGGCCCTGGGTTAAGGGCTTGTGGGCAGAGGCGGCCCTAGGTCATTTTCAATGGTAAACAAACAGTATTTTGGCGCCCCCCCCCCCCAACCAATCACTGATATATATTTTCTTTTCATCATGAGAGTTCTGTGTGCCATATGTGGTTCAATTCCATCATTGGTGGAGTTCAGAGTGTTCTTTGATTGTAGGTGAACTATACATCCCAGTACTATAACTCGCATATGTCAAGGTCTATTTTCCCCAAGAGCGCCTCAAGAGCGCCCCTGGGCAAAATCAACTATACTGCAAATGCTTACTTTGCGTAATGCGTTGAGCCGCCCCTGCTTGTGGGTGTTAGAAAAGGCAGCGAGAGGAAGCTCAAGAGGAACATGGAGACATGGGGCCAACCTGGCTGGCAAGGGATCCACATGTATGCTCCAAAGACCTGGGATTAGTGACATGCCTGCCCTCCGAGGCTGAGAAGGTGAACTGGGAAAAGGATATTTCTGATATCATGATGAGGAAGAAGCATCTAGTGTCAGTAACAATACGAGAGACAAAAGAGGAAAAGTATGCAAGACATTGGAGTCCCGATCCAAATGGGAGTCCCTTGCAGCCATCACCATGCAATGTGCCTGAGCATGTGATGCTTTGCATTTTCCTCCAGAAATCTATGGGATGCTGATAATAAAAGAAAGATTCATTTTTAAATGGAAAGGGAGAGAGCAAAGCCAGGCCACCCCCCAGGGACAGGCTCCGACTTGAGGCCAGGCTTGGCTTTAAAGGGCTGAATCTGGGCACAGGGACGCTCCTTGTCTATGAAATCAGGCCAGGAGGAAGAAGCACCTATTCTCAGCCTGGCCACTAGAGGGCACCGGAGTCACACTGTCACAGCCCCTTTCTGCAAAGCCCCTCGATGGACTGTCACCTTGTGCTGGTGAGGGGGCTTGCATGTTCCAATGTACCTGCGGGCACAACGACTGGAGTCGTGCACTCCCAGGAGTGGCCGCGGGGGAGGTTCCAGACCAAGCACAGTCCGAAGACCCAAAGACCTCAACAGCGGAGCAGGCGGAGGACAACATGGTAGACTCATAGAATCAAAGAGTTGGAAGAGACCTCATGGGCCATCCAGTCCAACCCCCTGCCAAAAAGCAGGAATATTGCATTCAAATCACCCCTGACAGATGGCCATCCAGCCTCTGTTTAAAAGCTTCCAAAGAAGGAGCCTCCACCACACTCCGGGGCAGAGAGTTCCACTGCTGAACAGCTCTCACAGTCATGAAGTTCTTCCTCATGTTCAGATGGAATCTCCTCTCTTGTAGTTTGAAGCCATTGTTCCGCGACCTAGTAACATGGTACATGTTACAACGGCTGTGAAGGCGGAAGAAGGCTGCAACAGATTGAGAAGCCATGGTCATCTTGGTCAACTATGCCACCCGAGGAGCCTCACTCTGTGAAGACTGTGTCTTGATCAGTGTGCACTGACCTCCACACATTTAAAAAATCCTCGCACAGGCATCTTCCAAGGGGAAAAAAACCAATTGGGAAGACAAGCGGACAAATGTCAGTGTGCTGGAAGAAGCAAAGACCACCATAACTGAAGCGATGGTCCTCCGCCATCAACTCCACTGGACTGGCCATGTTGTCCGGATGCCCGACCACCGTCTCCCAAAGCAGTTGCTCTACTCTGAACTCAAGAATGGAAAACAGAATGTTGGAGGACAGGAAAAGAGATTTAAAGATGGGCTCAAAGCCAACCTTAAAAACTCTGGCATAGATACTGAGAACTGGGAAGCCCTGGCCCTTGAGTGCTCCAGCTGGAGGTCAGCTGTGACCAGCAGTGCTGCAGAATTTGAAGAGGCACGAATGGAGGGCGAAAGAGAGAAATGTGCCAAGAGGAAGGCGCATCAAGCCAAACCCCTATCGGGACCTCCTCCCACCTGGAAACCGAGGCCCTCACTGCAGGAGAAGATGCAGATCAAGAATAGGGCTCCACAGCCATCTACGGACCCACCCCCAGGATACTACACTTGGAGGACCATCATCCTTGGACTACGAGGGATCTCCTAAGTAAGTAAGTATAACAGTCTTTTATGAAGAAGTGAATAGTTTGAGAGAAACTCATACTGAAACTTTGTTTGGTAAGCAGCAAGCAATTGATACTATGTAACCACTACAGATATATCATAAGAATTAGACAAATAAACTAAGTAACTGTTTTCACTTTAAACAGACTATCTCTCCATGTATCACTTCCAGCTTGAGGAGCTGTTGTTGTTAAATCTGGATCAAGTCAGTTTGGGACTGAATTCTGGTTTCTCTTTTTCAAAGTCGTTTTTCTGCCTCTTACCTTTTAATCTAACTTCTAAATCTCGGTGTCCTTCTTTTGTTTTAAATATGCATTCATACAGAAAGAAGACCTACAGACACCCAGGTGTCAACCACCCTTCTTCCTGTGGTTTGGAAACATACTTATATATAAAGTAAAGGTAAAGGTTTTCCCGTGACATTAAGTCTAGTTAAGTGCCACTCTGGGGGTTGGTGCTCATCTCCATTTCTAAGCCAAAGAGCGTGCTTGCTCCATCCATGTTCAACATCTACACAAATGACCAGCCACTGCCAGAAGGGACAGAGAGTTTCATCTATGCTGATGATCGCGCCATTACTGCTCAAGCAGGGAGCTTTGAGATGGTTGAACAGAAGCTCTCCGAAGCTCTAGGACTCGGGTAGGGAACCTTTGGCCCTCCAGCTGTGGTGGACTTCAACTCCCACAATTCCTTGAGGCTCGGCATTGGGCCAAGGTTAAGCCTTTGGGGCGAATGCCGAGCCTCAAGGAATTGTGGGAGTTGAAGTCCACCACAGCTGGAGGGCCAAAGGTTCCCTACCCCTGCTCTAGGTGCTCTTACTGCTTATTACAGGGAAAAACAGCTGATCCCCAACCCATCTAAAACACAGACATGCGCCTTTCATCTCAAGAACAGAGAAGCATCCCGAGCTCTGAAGATCACCTGGGAAGGAATCCCACTGGAGCATTGCAGCGCACCCAAATACCTGGGAGTCACTCTGGACCGTGCTCTGACCTACAAGAAGCACTGCCTGAACATCAAGCAAAAAGTGGGTGCTAGAAACAATATCATACGAAAGCGACTGGCACAACCTGGGGATCACAACCAGACACAGTGAAGACATCTGCCCTTGTCGTGCGCTATGCTACTCTGCTGCTGAGTATGCATGCCCAGTGTGGAACACATCTCACCACGCTAAAACAGGGATGTGGCTCTTAATGAGACATGCCGCAATATCACGGGGTGTCTGCGCCCTACACCACTGGAGAAATTACACTGCTTAGCCGGTATTGCACCACCTGACATCCGCCGGGAAGTAGCAGCCAATAGTGAAAGACCAAGGCAGAGACATCTCCAGCTCATCCCTTGTTTGGGTATCAGCCAGCACGTCAACGACTTAAATCTAGAAATAGTTTTCTAAGATCTACAGAGACACTCGCTGGAACACCTCAGCAAGCGAGAGTCCAAAAGTGGCAGGCTCAAACCCAGCACCTCAACCCATGGCTGATACCAAATGAGAGACTCCCCCTGGGCACACAGAAGACTGGGCGACTTGGAAGGCACTGAACAGACTGCGCTCTGGCACCACGAGATGCAGAGCCAACCTTCAGAAATGGGGCTACAAAGTGGAATCACGACATGCGAGTGTGGAGAGGAGCAAACCACTGACCACCTGCTGCAATGCAACCTGAGCCCTGCCA